CCTTCGGACCGTTCGTGTTGGCCAGAGTTCCGCGCAGCCGATGAGGGGGCCGCAGGGGGCTTCTCCCTGGTCTCTGTGCTCTACACGGCAGAGCACAAGGGCATGAAAACTAGACCTTTGGATGCAGTTCAGAAAAGGAAGAAAGCTCCAGAATGTCTTTTAAACAAGGCTAAATAAGGCAGAAGTAGGTTGTTAAGAACAGTTCCAAACTTCCTCTCTGATTCCTGTCCTGTGTGCCAAGACTGGGTTGTGGCATCATTATCTTGGCCTTCTCGTGGCACATCCCACATCTAGACCGTGTGTAATATTTAAAGTCAGTGTCTTGATGGAGGTAGATGGAAGATGATCCTGCTTATGGCTCTCACATGCGTCAGATGCTCATTTCATGAAAGGATCATGACATCAGATGATCTACTTCTTGTGCCCGCCCCAGACTCTAAGCCCTGTGAGGCAGCACCTATGTTCTAGTCACCATCTTTTCTCCAAGACCCAGCATGACTCTTGGCTCATGGCACTGAAGGCATGTTTGTTGAATGACTAAATGAATGAATGGAGATTACCAGCTGCAAATTAATTTCCACATCAGTTTTCCCTGGAATACCACATATATGTTTAAATGAATTTCTCTCACTCCCAGTATTTTACAGGATTTTTTTACAGGATAAATAAATAATATAAGAGCTTACTGATTTATATTTACACATTTATGTTACATACACACGTCATCCCTTTACAGATAAAACCCCTTATTCTCAAACCGTTCTTTCCTAAGTGCTTGCCTGAAAATGCACTTTATTCCCTGAAGTTGGAGTGATGTCATGCACATTCACCATTTACGGGGTGACTCCTTTATGTCAGGACTGTCGGGACGGATTCTCTGGCTATGTCCATCGCCCCCAGCAGCCGCCCTCCCACTGTGCATGTCAGTAGATCATCAACATCAACATAGGCAGGGTTTGAACCCAAAGCTTCCTTATGATTCGGCGCAATGCTCCTCAGGACAGTAAACAAGCTAAAAAGCATGGAAGCCTCCTGCAAAGCACATTTTCCAGAACATGTGCTTTTCCAACCAATTATTACATTACCTCGCTGGCTTGACCATGGCTCTGTGTGATAGACCGGCAGGTGCAAAGCTGAAGGCGAGACCACCAGGCGGAGGAGAGGACTGTCGAAGCGCGGGCCTTCCCAGTTCCTCCCGCCTCCCCGACCCCCAGCGCCGGGCTGTCTTCGGAAGGGGTGAGGATCAGTCCCTTCTCTGTCAGCCTCAGGGACTGTTTTGCAGTAAAGTGGCTGACAACCGCACAGCCCTGCCTCTTCCTCCCTCTGCCCACCCCGTTCAGGCCGATGCTAGGAGGAATCCTGACCCCCGGGAGCCTGACGGGGCAAAGACCTGTGTGCGTCCAGCCAGGTGTCAGAGGAGCTGGCTTGTCTGAGAATTAACTTTGGTACATTGTTCCTGATTCAAGCTGCATGAATAGTTCGGTTCTCCTGTGTGTTTTTTATTTGCCAAGAATAGAACAGATGATGTATAGTTTGATTTTAAATTCTCAGTTACTCACAAATTGGAATGAATGTTAAAAACGGAAAGATTTCCAAGATTATGCTATTGGTCAATTTGTGTGGGCTAAATAACATTTATCACCGTTGTGATCATGCATAAATTAAATGATAAAACGAAAAGGTACCAGAGAAGACAGGAGAGATGGACCTGGGGCCTCTCCTCAGCATCTCCTTCTCACCTAGAGCCCTGCTTGTCTCCTGGAGCAGAGCGCGGTGGTCTCCACAGAGAATCTGAGGGAGGTTGTAAGAGGCCAGGGGCTTTGGGACTGTCAGCTCTGCTCAGTGTGTCTCATCTCCCCGCCCCTGCCCCAGCCTAGCTGCTGTTTGTTTCTCCTTTCTTCACAGGAGAAAGCTGTCAGGTGACACTGAAAGTTATTTGTTCTCAGTAGTTGAGCCTGTGGGTACGTGATTATTTGCAGCCCATGCACTGAAAGTATAATTCTAGGATGAGAACCGGCCTGTTGCAGGGATCACCTTGTGACCACCTATTAGAGGTCTCAGGCTCCAGGCACCTTCTACTGATGCGTCAGGGAAGCTTAGGTGTTGAAAGTAGTGACAAAACCGAGGCCCTGTCTTTATAAACGGTACCCAGGAAAGCCATCCTACAACCTGCCTGCTCTCTGCAAAGAACCTGTGAGTCCTGGGTGATAAAACCCCATGTCAGTAGGTAAAGAAATAATGCATCTGTGTGTCTTTGTTCAGTTTTTAGGTAGAGCAAACAATTGTCTTAAGTACATGGCAGGAGGAACTGAGTCGGGGATAGAGTCTGTTGAGCCTGTAGGCAGGATACTTGATTGCAAAGGCACGGATTCGCTCCTGCGGCTGGTACAGTTAGGACACTCATTCACATCTCCTGGTAAATCATGTGGAGAGCTGTTTTATGTGGCCACTGTTCCACAGACTGGTTTAAATTAGGGACCAATTTGGTGCAGAAAAGAAAATATTGATATTGGGTAGTTTTATGAGAATATAAATCAAATCCAAAGTTTGAGATCCAAAAGAATTCAATTATTGATGGTCTGAATTAACTTTGGTACATTGTTCCTGATTCAAGCTACATGAATAGTTCAGTTCTCCTGTGTGTTTTTTATTTGCCAAGAATAAAATAGATGATGTATAGTTTGGTTTTAAATTCTCAGTTACTTACAAATTGGAATGAATGTTTAAAACCCAAAAGATTTCCAAGATTATGCTATTGGTCAATTTGTGTGGGCTAAATAACATTTATCGCCATTGTGATCATGTATAAATTAAATGATAAAAGAAAAAGAAAAGGTACCAGTTAAGGAAAATATCATTTATTTTGGTCTATCACAGCTCCTTTAACTTGGTCTGCACTTAAAAAAACAAAAAAACCTAAGAATACATTTTCTTCAAAATTATAGTTTCAATAAAAGACTTTTCCTCTTTACTTAATGTCAAAAATATAAATTTGGAAAGGATTCTGATAGAAAAAAATCCCTCTGGTGCATACAATTCAATTAATCAATTCTAGGTCATCTGATTCTAGTCATTTACTGCTGGGGTGTGAATGCCTCCTAACCATGAACTGATGGCAGCCTATATTTCAATATTCTGTGAGAATTACTGGTATCAAGCTGTTGTTAAGGGTGTGCAGTTCTATCAGTATTGCGCCAGGAAACAAGCTCCCTGAAAGATTCTTACCACAATCTGTCCCACTCTCCTAGACAGGAATGCAAGCACACATAGTTTAGCATCACCAAAATAAATTTGTTATCAAGAGAAAAAGATGAAAGTGCCTCCCTCCACCTTTGGTTGAATGTGAGAATTATGATTACATGCTTATCACGCTGTGTTTTAATTGTGTTCTTGCCGGCTTCCTACCAGCTGTGCGCCCTCTGAAACCAGGGGACACATCCCAGCCATCTAGCTTTGCAAACGCTCTACCAACTTATATTGAACAAATGAAGGATGAAATGAATGAACAGAAGTACCTTATAGCGAGGATAGTGAAATATTCTGACTTGATCTTTGATGTTGTCAGTTTCAGTTATCACACTAAATGTTTATGTATTGGCTGAAAAATATCACATAATTTACCTGTCCACCTTAGTTTTATCAATAGTAGCCATACTGGGTACAAAGCTTCAAGGTTATGGTGAAATTTAGTAAGTGATTTTTTTGTGAAGTGCTTTTGAAATCTGCAGGTGAAAAAGAAATTTTAGTATAGGTAGATGTAGAAATTGTGAGTGGTTATCTGGGGAAAATACCAGACCCTTGACATACCAGGGACATGTTATTGGTTTTACATGTAGCCCTGAGCTGGAACTGTGTCACATGGACACCTCTAAGCCAGTCATTATAAGGGAATGGGTTTACTAAGATTGACTTAGATTAATCAAGTCACTTTCTTGGACTAAGAAAGGCCCAATTTCTCCCACTGTCCCAAACTGCCTGATACCCGAAGAAAATTAGAGTTCTGTTGATATATTATCAAGAATTATATTTGATTTTATATTGGAAGTAACTCAGAATAACAGTGGCTATTTTCTTTCCCTCTCACATAGAAGTTCAGAGATAGACAGTGCCCCTCCATGCGTCAAGATCAGACTTGTTTTATTTTTCTGCCCAACTATATTTAATATGTGATTTCCATGGTCTAGGTGGCTGATGAAGCTCCAGCCATCACTTTCCTATCCCAGACAGGAAAAAGAGGAAGAAAGGTGACCCCCCCTTCTTCTTAGAGACTTCCTATAAGCCCAAGAAAATAGTCTTTTGATAACTCATTGGCCAGAAGTTTGTCTGAGAGTGACAGTTACAAAGGGGGCTGGGAACTGTAGTTTGATGTGTCCGGTCAAAAAATCAGGGTTTATTAGTTAGGAAGAAGGGGAAATGGATACTGGAGTAAACAATTACCGGATTATTACAGATACAACAACAATAAGATAGCATAAATGAGACACGGGGGAGGAAAGCAGAGCATGCAGGAAACAGTGAGGCGACCGTCTTCCCCACCATCAGCTTCTCTCTGCTGCAAGTCATCTCACGCAGTGAAATAGCCTAACAGCAAAACAATAGAAAGGAGAGGCAAAGGACGTGGTAAATCAGCAAAGTGTGGAAGCTGTGTACAGATAATTAGGATCGTGTGTTGCACTATATCATTTTTCAGCCTTGTTGTAGTACTTTACATAGGGAAGGATATTATTTTTCCAAATACGGGAATGTGGAAGTCAAGGTATGAATGATCTGTCCAGAATAACTGTCTTAATTAGCAACAAGGTCACCTTTGGAAAATACAAAATATTACTTGGAAGGAGAGGCTTATTCTGAGCAGAATCATGTCCCCTAGAAGTGGAGGGCAGAGGCAAATGAGGAGCTAATTAGCCACAGTAAGCTGTGGGGAACGTATTGGTAAATTATAGTCTATGCGTGTAAAGCCTCATGATTATCCTGACAGCTCTTTTCTTTATTTTTTAAAGGTAGCCAACCAAGTTGTTCAAGCTCTACTCACTCAAAAGGTAGGTCACTTTCTGGCTCTGTTATTTTCAAAGTACCTATGTGAATAGACGGGAACTGGTATTGTCAAATCAGGAGATTGTGATTGATAGATGCAATACTTTTCTCCTTACTCACTTAGGTTAAAATTGTGTGTGTATTAGATGGTGTATGAAGTAACATCAGTGACCGACGGAGTCATAAAATTCAAACTCTTGTTAAAGTAATAGAAAGCCTTTTGAAGATGAAAGATTTCCATGAACCCAGATGAGTAGCAAACCTATCGGTTTTACTTAGCAAATGCAAACATTGAATAGGTTGGTGGATTCCTCCAATTCCTGTAAAATGAGTAGCCTCTAACAGACACCATTAATGGAAGCCAGACATTTAGCAGGAGATCTTTGAGGTTATGGAAGTTGTCTAGTTTCTCTGGGCCTTAGTGCCTCTTCTGTAGAATGGGGATAGCAATGCCCACCTCCCAGAATCGCTGTGGTCCCTCTACGAAAGGAGGCATGCAGAGCAGTTCCTGTTGTGGTGGAAATATAGAATAAATGGCAGTGTTATTGTAGACTTGAAAGTTGCTAACAAGAGATCTCATTCTCACCACACACACACACATACACATACAACATACATACACACACAGAGTTAACTATGTGAGGTGATGGATGTGTTTATTATCTTGATATTGGTAATCATTCCACAATGTAATGTATGTCAAATCACCACATTGTACATTTTGAATTATACAATTATATTTGTCAATTATCCCTTGATCAAGTTAGGGGAAAAGCAAATGGTAATTTCTGAGCATGAAATTTCTATATCTCCGTCTTTGCTATCTCCCTACCCTACCTTCAGATAATGATATGTTATTGGGTCAATATAAATAATTACCCAAATTTGGCTGGTGAATTGTATTGATCCTTTCCCATCTCTTTCCATAATGTTTCTCAGAGGCTAGATTCTAGGTCCTTCACATTTTGTTTATTCTGTCACTTCTCCGTGAGATGGAGATTTCCTCTATAAAAGGAAATTTAGATCATGTGGCTTATTCAGGAGGGTGTGGCTAATGAGAGCAAAATAATTTATGACCTTTTGTGTTTTAGTTGGAAATAATTATATTAGGAGTTGACCACTTCTCATGGATAATTTAAATAAATATTATTTAAATTTACACTACAGAGGCATGATGATAATGTTTTTGTTAGACTTTCTCCCCCAACTACCTCTGTCAAAATATCATGTTTTCTGCTACAAGCAAAAACTGCTTCAGGTTTTATTAACATCACATAATGTAATGAGATGTGAGTATACTTATGGAAAGTTAGAATTAGGTTCCACTTTGAGCTACAGAGATCTGAAATAACAGTGGCTTAAATAAGCTAAAATGTTATTTCTTTCTCACATCTAAATCCACAGGTAGGCAGTATAGGGCCGGTATGGTGACACTGCCCCATGAAGTCCATGGGGTCCCTGGCTTCTATCGTGTTGTTCAATGAGATTTGGCCTCCATTTCTAAGGTCACTTCATGGTCCAAAGTAGCTGCTCTAGCTCCAGTCATCACATCCACATTCCATCCATCAGGAAGGAAGAAAAGCTGAAGAAAATGCAAAGGGTAAAGGGCATACACCAGCTGTCTTTTAAGAGAGACTTTCAAAAGCTTTCCTATCTCCCTACCGTGCACCTCCTTGAACGGACCTTAGTCACAGAGCCACATATAAGGAAGGAAGCTTGTGATGAACGCTTTATTCTGGGAATGTGCCCAGCTAAAAACTTAATGACATCTTACTGTCAAAGAAGGGGACAAACAGATGTTGAAGAACAGTGTACACTTTCTGTCACAACATATATGAATGCCTTTCCTTTTTCAAAGGCTTAATTTCTCATTGGCTTCCCTCCTAGTGGAAACTCTATGCTCATTTAACTACAGACCCAAGACCTGAAGGGAGCACCTTTTGCAGCTCCGTGTACCTTTGGAGACTTCTCACACCTGTCCTTTCTAATGGTGCCTCAGGAAAGGAACAAGGAAACTGGTACAGTGGGATTCTTCAGGTCAGCCACAAAAAATAGCTGCAGAAATGCAGGTAGTAACTAGTACATAGATTAGTCTGCCTGGTACGGTTAGCAGTGAGGCCCAGAAGGACGCGTTGCTGTGTGCCTCAGGGATTCAATCCCGCAGCAGGAGAGCTGGGCTTCCTGGGGTTCCAAAAGAATCATGTTCCGTAGGAACGTGTGCCTCCCGGTTTTATAGGGTGTTAAAATTGCTGCAAAAATGACTAGAATTTCCTTAATTGAGAGCACAAGATAGGAAATAAAATGTCTCCAAAATACAGATGAGAAAACTAATTCTAAACAGGATGTACCTCTTAAAGAAGCCCAGTCAAAACAGAAATCTTGAGAGATTTATCCAAGTCACAAAAGTAATCCTTGAGGTGAAATTAGAGTCATAACTCTTCAGGTTTAGAATATATCATTTGTTACGGCACAAAGGCAAGTGTGCCGTGGTGTCAGTTCCTCTCTGAGCAACCAGAACAGCATTTTTCATGGCATCCCTGCATCAGCCCAGGCGAACATCCCAGAGTGTGCTTCTTGTCACAATAGTAATAGAAAAAAATATAAACTTATCAGTTTCTGTTAAATGTACATATGTTGCCCTAGTCAGCTCATTCAGTGTATCTCAAAACGATGTGGATCCCCTTAATAGAGCAGACTGTACAGACTGTACCTCCTTTAGGTCCATAATGCTAACGTGACAATAATATCCCAGCTCACTTCCATTTAGGTTCAAGTATACACAAGTGCTGTGAAATCAATAATCGGGCTTAATTATTTTGTCTGAAATCTGTTTTATCTTCATTAAGTCAATTACACTCACTGAAAATGGAACTCTCCTAGGCTCTTCAATCTTTGTTTGTTTGTTTGTTTTGTGGTTTGTTTGTTTTTGTTTGTTTGTTTTACCACTAACGCCAAACTTGGAAGCAGAGCATTTTTCCCTGCAGCTGTTTTTCAGCATATCAACAACTTCAGCCTTATCTGCATGCTCTTTAGGGTAGCCAAGTAGTGATATGGTGTTTTATCTTCACCAACGTAGAATAATGCTCCTGGATCTTGACTCTAGCAATACGGCCATTCGGGTAGAAGCTGGACATGATTTTGTAGCTTGAAACTGGGAGAATTTCAAGTGCCTATGTGTTTCCCATCTGCTTGTCTAGCAGTGGCATGTGTAGGATTTGGTTCCTTGAAGGGGGTCTATATAGGGTTTGGAAAAAGTAGGTTTACAGTTGTGAGTACACGAAACACAGTTTTATTTCTGTACTATTATTAATTAATTATTGTATTATTTTCCATATGGACAACTGTTAACCTACTTTTGCCACCCCTATGTTTACTGAGCACTTACAAGGAGTCACACTCCATGTCCACACTTTAAATGAACTAAGTCATCTGTTCTCACCGCAACCCTGTGTGATGGTACTAAAAACAATCTGCCCATAGTTCTAATGGCCAGAAGTGGCATAGCCCGCACTTTAACCTAAGGTGATTGCACCCAGATTCCATGCTCTTGTCCTCTGCACCATTCAGCCTGCTAGATCCCATTCGGTCACTTACTGTTTCCCCCACTAGAGTTGAGCAGGCAGAGGAGATGCTATGAAAATCAGCAGATGGATTGAAATCCAATCATTACTTACGATTGCAAGAAATAAAAGAGTGAAGTAGCCAATAGATTTCTTAAAACTTCTGGAATGTTGCCAGGCCTCACTGGCAAGAACATCCAGAACTCGCCCTGTGTGGAGTCAAAGCTGTCTATAAATTTGGAGTCACGCTTTCTCAATATACATCTTAATCTGGACCATAGAATTTACAATTGCCAAGGACTTTAGAGAGCATTCAATACCCATGTTGCCAACCAGCTTTGGTAATGGGCTCAGTTCACTCTAATTGCATGAACTGTTTAGCCATCCCCCAGACTTACAATGTTTTAATCCAGATGTCTTTAGGATGAAGGCTCATAGCATTCAGTTTGCCACAGAGCTCACCACTTCCTATTGATCAGAGTTGGCCTGACTTGGTCACTCAGCTAGCCACCTGCCTTGCCTTTTAATGGTATTTGATGTTGAGGCCCTTGGTTAGTCTGACATTGACCAGCCTTTTCCAGAAATGGCTTTTCTTTTCACAGAAGTTTTAGGATCCTTGAAAGAGAAAGGAATGACAGCCACTCACGAGAAGAGAGGCTGGTGGGTCCATTAGGCTTCAGGGAAGGACTGAAGTGGCCCTTCGCAAGCCGTCTCATGAAGCAGCGGGGATATTCCTTCTTTCTAAAGCCTGGTTTTGGGCAGTAGCTCAGTCTACAGGGGAGAAAACTGGGGCCCAACCAGCATAAGTTACTTCCTCACGGTCATATGGGCCCAGTGTGCAGGCCCTTTACCTCCCAATCCAATATGTTCCCGTGATAAACTGCATCTGGAATAGTTCTACTGTAATATCATTGTTACATGAAAAATCAGATTTAAATAGTTATCAATAATCATCTGGTGATAATGTCAGGGTAAGTACCCAGCTTCTAAGCAATCAGCATTTTCATAGATTTATGTCAGCAGGGAGCCAGGTAATGGTTTGCTCTAAATGCATGGAGTGACTGTACCGCACAGGTGCTGTATAGCAGGGAACCCAGCATCTTCTCCATCCCAGTGCAGGTGAAACTGGCAATGTGCGCATGGTCCAGGGAAGTCGTCATTTGGGATTATTAAGACACACAGAGCCCTTTTTGATCAGTGTACCTCATTGCTCAGTATATTTGCCCTCACATTCAGCTGTAATGTTTACTCTCTGATTCCAGTTGATAGTGACATACAGGTTGTGAAGAAAACAGGATTGGCTATTCTCTTGAACCCAGAGACCATTATACTTTCTCACATGAGATTCAATTAAGCCAAATCTTTGGCATTATTCCCCACTGATCAGATGATAGATTGTGTCTCCTTGTTTATTTCAGAAGACACAACCCTATCATTTCAGTGGGGTCCTCCCTCCTCTTGAGACCTGAGACATACTAGGGAGTCATAGAGAAAGGAGAGCTGTGAGACAGGACAGATGGCCCAGCGCCTGCTGTGAGCCACAGTCCCAAACAGCGGCATCTACACAGAGGAGTTATTTTATTTCTAATGCTTTACTTGGAAGGATAGTCTCGTTCTGGCCTCTGTTGTAAGTGTTGAGGTCTGAGCATTGGGTCTTGTACCCGCCCTAACACATGCCAGACTCTCCTTTATCACAGTTCCCGCTGTGGGCACAGAGGAAGCAGCCAGCCAGCTGCCGCTCTGCCCTGCTCTCACTGTAGTAGTCAGGGAAATTGTTTTTCTTTCTCTCCTTCTATCTCTCTGGTCTAGTTCTGTTTATCTGTGTGCACGTGGACACCCGCATGTGGTTTTTGTTACAATTTCCTGTGATGATAGCTGTCTGGCATCAGTTCCTGTCTACAGCTTGACTGAAGGGAGCAAGAATATTTAAAAGAACAGCACTGACAATTCTTTTATGTCTGTGAGTTTTCAGTGCAGCTCAGTTCTGTTTATCAGGGACCGTAAGACCAGTGTCACATGCCTAAAGCCCTGTGCTGGTCTGGATGAGCCAAGTGATGAACAAACAGTTCTCAAGGTTGATAAATTGTGTTCCTGCTAATGACCTCGTACCACCTTAAGTAATAGTAATGGCCGTTGAATTTGGACACTTGTACAAAAACTCTCTATAGTGTATATTGATTTTTTCTTTCTTTATTTTTATTTTTCCTTTTTTTTGCCCACCTGAAGAACTCTTTCATGTTATTACCAGTTTCGCTGCTAGAAATTGCTGACAGTACTCCTTACAGGTCTAACTCTCTCCTTGCAAACCCACACTTGTGTGCTCCTGTTCCCATCGCTTCACTGGCTCGTGAGAATGAGTGTGTGTCCCACCTAACTGGTGCTATTAATATGTATTTACCTCACGGTCAAGTTTTATTAATTACTTAATTAGCAGTAGTAACAACAATTAGTGTTTGGGAGCAGGATGTGTTATATACATGCTAAGAACAAACATTAGCACTAATGAGACACAGACAGGGGTTGAATTCTAAATGAAAGAAACACATTTAGCCTTTTAATTCAAACAGTGCCCAGGCCCCCAGAATGGCCCCTGCCGAGGGGCGGGTGCGCTCACACACCTGTGCACCACACACACTCCTGCCCCTGCCTTGGATGCCATGCCCTCCTAGACCTTGTACCAAGTGCCTCATTCTGAACTTGACCTTCCCTTTCTCCACTCCACATTTGTAGGCAGCAATCAGTTGAAAGCATCCTGTGCATAAGCTTCACCCATTTTACTAAAAAGGGGAGGGGAGTGAGAGCCGTGCGGTGAGCGACACCCGGGCCTGTTCCTTTGTCCGCTGTAAATACAGTGAATCGTGTGGATATGGTGATGGCACCTCTGGCAAAGCCCCAGAAGCGGGGTCTCTCTGGCTTCACACTTAGGTTGTCACAGACTGTGGAACAGGCCCGCTCATGTCTGTGACTCCTGCTTAGACCGCGGGGTCAGAGCTGTTGACCGGGGCCTCTGCTGCCTACAGAGCCTCCTGTAAAGCCTGTGGCGGCCCGCGTCAGAAAGCGTCAGTGGACAAACCAGAGGCGCTGAGAGGCTGCCTCCCTTTGCGCACCGTCACCAGGGAACAGAAGTCACCGTCTCCGTCCCCCTAATGTTCCCGCTGAAGTCCTAAAGCTGCCTCTCCAGGTGCTGTGCAGGGTGCAGAAGCGTGTCAGACAGTGCACTGCTGCTTATTGGCGCCTCTTGCGCGCCTTCGGAGGACTGTGCCAGCTGATGGACGGTGACAGCTGATGGACGATGCCAGCTGATGGACGATGCCAGCTGATGGACGGTGACAGCTGATGGACGAGATAATCTAGGGAGTGAAATAGAAGATCGAGTGAGCGCAGCGCTCACTGCATCATGTCAGAGGGTCAGGAGCTCCCGGCCCAGGAGCAGAGCAGCCTTTGCGGGGCAGCAGGTGGGGCCAGCGGGGAGCCAGGGAGAGTTGAGCTGGATGCCAGGGAGCCGCACGGAGGAAGAAGGCATGCGGGGGAAATGGCCTTGGCGGGGGAAGAGCTTTGAGAACAACAAGCAGACCTTGTTCTTTGCGTAGTTAAGAGCAAAAGCCTTTTTTAAAAAAATCATGAAATACTGAAAGGTAAAGTTCAAAATGTAGAACGGAGTCAGCTTTTTGAAGAACCTTGAACTGGGGAGTTATTCTAGTCTCTCTTGAGCCCCATCAAAGAGGGTGTAGACATTTAAGAGCAGTTAGTGTCTTGATCGCAAGCCAGTCTGGGGGCAGGTCCTTGGTGGGACTCGGAGAGCCCCCAGTGCTGTGGGTCGGCTCCCTCACCAAAGCTGGGAGTGGCCGCTGTGGTGTCAGCTGTTCAAGAGAGCTGCCCCCAGCGATGGCGAGGTGGTCACTCTCCTCCCCAGCAGCAGGACCGAAATGCGTCAAAGCTTTCGAAGCTGCTCACTCCCGAGCTGCCTCGCCCGCACTAAATGCATCACCGGCTCTCTGGGCCACGGCGCCCAGAATTTCAGCTCGTTCCCACGAACGACGGGGCAAGGCGCCATCAGAAGCCAGTTTCTCTAGTTCATCACATCTCTACTCACTGCAAAAACATTACTGTCCTTGCGGTTTGTGCTTTATGATTGCTTTTACGGAGACAATGAAAAGGCCGACTACGCAGGTGGAAACTCAAATTGACTTTATATCGCGAAGGTTTACCATCTTCAAAAATAGCACGCTGGGTGAATGCATTTCTGGTTTCAAGGTGCTTTTATATAAAAAAAAAAATATTGGTCTTCCCTGCACACAGTCTTTCTATCAGACAATGGGCCATGGAAGAAAACACTGTGTGTGATTTATTTCTGTGGGCTTCGAAGAACAAAAATAGTATTTTTTACTAACGTGCCTGAAATATCAGATAAAATATGGTTATAAGATGCGCAGGTATCTTTCAGTTTTAGACTTTTTGTCCTTCGATGTGTTTGTTGTAGGATCTAAGGGAGGAATGTGTAAAGCTGAAGACCAGAGTGTGCGACTTGGAACAACAGAACCGAACGTTAAGTGTCCTGTTCCAGCAGCGGCTCCGACCGACTTCTGATCTGCTCCTCCAGGTATGTGTTTTTGTGGAAAATGATCTTTGCTACTGAAATACTATTGACAAGAATTTACTTATGTTCAAATGCTATCACTGTCTCCACGGGCGAGGCATATTACATTGGAACCTTCATTCTTTCCCCTCTTAAGGGATGTCATTAAAATTTAACGTTTCTCAAATTTCTGACTTTTTAAAGCTACGTTTTGATAAAGAAATGCATCAACAAATAGTAAGTGGTAAAAGGGACAATCAGAAGGTGCCCCCTAGTAAACTAAGCAAAATTATAGAACGGCGTCAGGAAATAATTACTTGGGAGACCAGTATTAGTAATCTCGTATTCCACAGTAAGCAAGGAAGAGTTTTATATAATGCCTGGGGTTTCCCTCTCTCTCTCTCTCTCTCTCTCTCTCTCTCTTTCTTTCATTCCTCCTCATAACACAATACTTCCTATATTCTGCCTCAGTGTTTTACAGGTTCTCTTTGTCTAAGTGCTTCCATGAAGCTCTTTCTTTACTTGCTTTTATAGCATGAGAAGTCATAGAAAGTAAAACTGTTATCGGTGGGGTGCTCTCCCACCTGTTGCTGTTGGCAATGGGCTTCTTGCAATGCCATAAGAAAAATAATTTTCTGAGACTCACACACAAGGATGAGATATTATAGAAAGATTTATTTCTGTGGAATTAAACCCCTGAGTTTCCAAGGTCCCATTTCCCTTCATCCTACCAAGGAGAAAGTCCAGCTGTGGCTTCAGCAGAGCTAGGATTAAAGCCTTACCCAGAGTTTCCATTCCATGTCTGGGCACAGTGCAATCCAACATCAGGCTAGCTTAGTTTGTGTTCCCAGCTGTAGTCCATCAGTCCATTGCATGTGAGGTCTACATGGTCCTGGGCCTTGCGTCTTCCAGGAACATAGGCAAATGGAGGAGAGGCACAAGAACCAAGAGCCAGGAGAGGGAGCTTCTTGGGATTATGCATCTGTGGGATTATGTATTCCGAAATTTTTGTGGGCTTTCTTTGGCTCCACTCCTTCTAGCGAGTTATTTCTATTCCCAGGTTTGACTGACAGGTACCTTCCCTACATCATCCCAACATCACTGAGCATGCATCTATCTCCCCTTTGTTGGACCCCTTCCCCCAGTGATCTATAGGGAATGAGTTGGTGCTTCCAGCTTCCTGGTGAAGCTGCCTAGATGGCCATGTTATGATGTCTGGCCTTCCCTTTTGCTCCTTTCCTATTATTAATAACTAGCTAATTAAAACTGTATCAAACCTATTAGCTGATTTTGACAAAGTTCTCAATAATATATTTGACTGCAGGAAAACACATGAATTAGCAAAGAGAGGTAGAGGACTGATCTTTCCTGTATTCTATTTTTTAAAATCATATCAATATGCATATTTGCTCAAACAAGCTCTGTGAGTCTTGCTCAGAGCATGCTGAGGCTTGGCTTGCAAAGGGTATGTGAAGTTTCACAGGGGCAATATACAATTAATTTACAAAGAATAATCCCCAGCTGCCTGGCCTAATTGCCTGAAAGAAGGAGAAAAGATAGAGGTATCCTCTAAACTACACTAACACTGTAGCCACTAGCCACATGGCACTATTGAAATTGAAAGTTAAATTAAACTAAAATGAAGTTCCCTATGTCAAACTAGCCACATTTCAAGTGTTGAAAAGCCACATATGGTTGACAGCTACCATTTTAGACAGTGTATATATAGAGTATTTCCATTATCTTAGAAAGTTCACTTTTCCAGATGGTTGAGACGGTGTTGCTAATTTCCCCTCTGAACTTTCACACAAACATCTTTGCTGGACTTCTCAGGGAAATAATGAAAAATTACAGTTCATCTCAAAGAAAGAAAGATGTTTAGTAAAGCTGAACATCAAATGTAATCCCCCCAAATTAAAATAAAACAGCTTTCTGAATTGTAAAAAGATCTCATCTCTTAAATTAATTTCCTTCCTGCTTTATCTGTTAAAGCATAATTCATAATTTACGGATCAAAAATTGTGTGGGAAAAAATCTTCTGTTTCCTAGTCCAGCACACAATAAATGTTGGTCATAGAGAATCTTGCATCTGTAGAAAGTGGTATTTCTTTCCCTCTCTCATAATCAATATTATAATTATTTTAACATTTGTTGCATGTTCATGACTTTTTCTGTTTTCCCTAATTTCACTTGAGGCTTTTCTGGACCATATTTTTCTCCCTGTTTCTGAATCACGATGGTTTGTTTCCACAGTCAAGACCTGTACCGTAGCTATTTAAGCTTTTTCGTTGGCCGTCACGAATTTGTTAAATCTCCATCCAAATTGCAGGGAATGGTGTGTATGCTCACAGTAGGACTCAGTGTTTATTCGATGAGCGTTTTCAGGCCACAGGCTTCCTATTCCTCCCTGAGCAGTCCTCACTTTCGGGAGCCGTTACCCTGTGAATGGCCTGGAAAATGATGGGCCGTTAAGTTCTGTGAAGGATAGAAAGCGGGATGCCTGCCCTCTAACACCTTATAGCTCACGGTCGTGGACAGCCTCGCTGGCTTGTCAGGTGGCCTGTTTGTTATTCGCCTCATGATTTGTCATTCTCTGGGGACACAAATACACAGGGAGCACTGGCTAAGGGAGAAGCAGCCCGAGCTTGCTTTGCACCTGTGGGAGCTCTGTCATTACTAGTTGAGTGGAATAATGAATAAATGATGCAGATTCATTCTGCAGGCTGGGGAGTTATTTTGCATACCTCTAAGAGTTTTATGCCTCTGTACTTCTGAACCTTTCCTGTCTAATGGGGATGCTTTGCAACTGTGTGGCACGCCCGACCAGACCAGCTATCTGAGGGTGTGGCTGGTGGATGGGGCAAGTCCACCACTGTGCCTGGTCCTAAATACTGTAGACATTACAGCTCCGCCCATGGACTGGAGATTCAGTATAGTAGGTTTCTCAGTAGTTTTCTGCAAATCTTAGAAAACTTCATCAGTGTTATCTGCTGAACACAGGCTAATGGTCTCCACAATCTGAAGTAGCCATCTGCAGAGAATTGTAGAAAGAAGATTCTTGAACCAGCCCATTGTAACTTTAGTAGATAGGTTGTACAGAGTGGAAAAGAAAATAACTTATAAGAAACCGTCAATTTTTTGTCCCTCAAAAATAGAGAATAAAAGATTGCATGGATATTATTAGTCAACTCCAATAAGAAGAACAAAAGGGGGTCCTTTTATGGATCCATTGATGGATTCTGGGACACTTACAAAGGAAACCAACCAGGTCCATGATGGGAAAGGAAAAAAGCCTGACCTTAAAATTAAAATCTTAAGAATAGCAATAAACTTCTCTGTTGATTCCAATTTCCAGAGTGATTATCTCTGGGATGGTGTGTAGTGACAAATCAGATTAAGAAGGCCCTTTATATGAAAATTAACAATTTGAGCTAAATTCTAAAGAATTGAGAAGCCAGAATCGCAAATGAAATCTGAAAGTAATTATCTTGATGGAACTGGAGTGTCTAACTAAACTTATTTGAACCTACTGGGCAGATTAACCAATGCTTACCATTTCCTCTTGTAAATCATATATTAAGCAAGACTCTTAACTTACTGAACATTTGCAACTAGTAGAGAGCTCTATACTAAGTGTACTTCTCTTACCAGTTGAGTTGAATGCTTAGTATGAATGAATCATGTTTGTAACTCAGTATGTTTATGCCAATAGTACATGTCATGGTAAGTATGTATTTTTTAACTACTATATAAATCAATGAAATATGGTGCAAAAAGAACTGTTTCTATAAAACAAAGTTGAGTGCTTCAAAAGTATCTAGCAACGCAAGTCACTAAAAAGAAGTATTTATGATCAAGTGAATAATAGGTGTCTAACTGTAAAGAAATTGTGGGAGACAGGGAATTGTGTTAAGTGGAGAGGTATTCTGCATGCATATTGCTACTCAGGTGCCTTTAAAGTCTTGTCCCACTGTTGAGGAAAACAAAAGCTAGAAATCAGACACAATGTATAAAAGCATATGTTTGATGCAAAAAATAAACCAACAAAAATAAATATCGGAGGACTCTAATATGAGGATCCCTAGGCAAAGAAGCATACTATTTGGCCCTAGCAAACATGTTATTTAATGAATACACTGTGCTTATCACATGTCAGATACTACTCCATAATCTTTGCAGCGTTCACCGATTTCATCTCCATTACTATCCTATGAGGGAGAAACTGTCTCTGTACCCATTTTATAAATGGGGACATGGGCACAGAGAGGCTCCGTCACAGCTGGTAATTGGCAGAGAGGGAATTTGCATCCACAGTCAGGCGAGTTCCTCCCTTCACCTCCTCTCCTGCCCTCTGCAGGAAACACTAATGGATGGGAGGAACCCTTTCCTGATTCCACACTCTGACATTTAGGGCTATTGCGGTGCAGTCCTAATAAGGAGCTGCCATTTTTACGCATTTCTAAAAGGTTCTTGATTTGTGGTATCCGTGGGTGTGGCCCCCCCCCCCACACACACACCCCCTGTGTGTTCTGCCTGTGTCTTGTTTTGGATACCTGTGTTATCATTACCTTGATAGGACATCATTCTCGTATTTCCGGCCTCACACAGCTTTTTCTTTTCCTTTTTATCTGATATTTCAAAGAGTCCCAGTACCCATATCCTTAGGCCAAGATAAAAAGAAAACAATGTTATAATGTAGATTATTCACACCAACAGTTGAAAATCTGACAGCTGAGCACCAAAGTGTAAAAACTTGCTGTCACTTCTTGGAGTGATGACTTTCTGTTTGCTAGTGTTTTGTTTTGTTATTTTAGATGAGATGAGAGGATTTTAAAATTCTACTGGAGCTTCTGATTATTTTTTCCTACACTCAATCTATATTTTCAGGTATAAATCTATCCAAGAGTCTTATTTGGCAATATTACCAGACAGGGGACCCGGCCCTAAGCAGGTCTGCCTAGGGCCCACCGGTAGTGTGTGGGTTCTTCACTTTGTGCAGGAAAAATTTCACAGCACGAGTCCAG